CATTAATTAGTTTATTAAATAACAATTAAGTGACCTTATTCCCAATAAAATAGTGAAGTTTGAATTTAATACTCAAAGGTCGATGAAAGAAAAGTTGTAAATATATATATATATATATAAACAGTTAATTATAATTGAATAAAAAAAATGTATGTATTGAAATTCCTACGTCGATAGTAGGAAATGCATGTACTATCTCTTACCAAGTATTATCATATGATTATATGATTGCTACACAATACATATATAGTATTAATAGTTAGCTGGTATCTGACTGTTTTTGGAACAGGAATTGGAATAGGGGGTTTTTGAATGTGTATAGGGAAGGGGCATGCCGAATTTTGATCGGGAGGGTATTCCAAAAGTTGACAGAGTAAGCTATAAAGGAGTTTTGGAATGAGGCAGATCTAAGAGAAGGGATGTATAGGTCAGAGGGTCGAGATCTTGTAGTGAGGGAATGGATTGAGTACTTAAATTGTAGAAGGTTGTAGGCATAAGAAGGACGATGATCGGTAATGATTTGATAAAGGAAAGTGCCTAGGAAATATTGTCTTCTTAAGGAGGGGAAGAGCCACTCTAACTCAGTGTAGTGGTGAATAAATATGAGAGTTATCGCGATAGTTGTAGCTAGTGTTACCAAAAAAAACTTAGGCAAGTCTTGGTCTTACTCAAGTGTCTTGCAGTTACCTGTTAGCTTATTGCACTAACGGATCAAGGATTTAATTTTGGGGGGCTTCAGCCCGAACGATTTTTTTTTATGTATATATTAGGCTAATTACTTTAGAAGAAAGACTACCTATATGGAATGGCGTTTTAAGTGATTCTTTAAGACCTATTAAAGGTACTTAGACGAACAATAACACTTTTAGAGATAATTGTTTTCATAAAACATGGTTATATTTTACCATTTAGTGAGAGGAGATTCAGTCCGATTTACTAAATGCTTTAATTCTACATTAGAGATTTATATTTCTGTCTGTCGTAGCTTTCTAACATTGGAAATGGTTCGCTTTACAGAGAAACAGTTATTCGCTTCGTCTATTATTAAGTACTAAAAATTAACAATATTTTCACCGTACTACTCCAATAATACAAGTTTTTACAATTGTACTGCTCATCCGTCGTAAAACGATGATCGATAAATCTATATTAAGAAAGGTGAATCGATCATTCGTAGTAAAAATATCGCTCGTTTTAATCAATCGAAATTGTAGATTTATGTGACGTCAGCACTTCATGGAAAATGAAACGTCATCAGTATTATATCTGTCAAACAGCAGAAAAAAAAACTATTCGGTTCTCTGTTATGGCTACTTCATTACTCATAATTGTTTGTCACTTTCTTATATTTATAGATTTTGAAAACAATTTCTTAACGTAGTTATGCCTCTTTTTACTTTAATTTATCTATATAGGTATTTAAGTATTGCGATCGTGAAAAAAATCGATTCCTAGTTTTCAATGGAAATACAAGTTTTAAGATCTCTCGAGTTAAAAAATTAATTTTATTATTATTATTTATTTTAAATGATATTTACAACTGTATACAAATAATACATCTGGTAAATTCGCACATTGATATAAAGACATGGAACACATGTTGAGAAACTACCCATTGGTAGCACTCTAATAATATGTCTATATTAGAAGATCACGTGGCCATCTTCTTTTCAGACGCCTCGGAGGGTTATCAGGAATCGAATAGGAAGCAAGGTTAGAGACAAGAGGGTTGGGATGGTTATGAAGTTTATTATGGAAGGACAGATATCTGGATTGGGCCAAATCTGATACATAAGGAACATTAAGGTCATTATGGATAATTTTATTTGTAACAAAGTAAGGAGCATTGAGGATTTTACGAAGGATTTTGGATTGCAAGGACTGGATGCGAGAGGAATTTGAAGGCTTGGTGGAACCCCATAGCTCAACCCCGCGAGTTAAAAAAAAAAACAAGTTTTGTTAAATTGTCTATATCTTTGTTAATAGTTAGCTTAAAAATGAAAAGAATTGTGGAGCTCTGAAATTTCGTATTTATAATAGATAAAGGCCTGAGATGTCGTAGCAAATTTTTCATCAAAATTGACTAATCGAAAGTACTACTTTATGTAATTGAATTTACACATTTTTGCAATAATCTCGAAAATGGTTCAAACTATTCTGATCAAACTCGTTATATCAGTGTAGAATCTAGTGGTATTTAATATAAACAGGTATTATGATCGCTGCTGTAGGTCAAGACAGTTGGGCACGATTTTGCTCGTGGGTACTTCATTGAAGTAGTGTTTTTTCAAACTTATTGAATCCATTCAAAGTTATTTAAAATCAATCTTGTGTTGTACTGATTGTGCTACGAAACGTTTAACACAACTATTAAGTTTCCCGGATGTGGTTTTCTGTCCGATCCTAGAAACAAAGAACCATTGACATTCTTCGAAACTCTTCAAGTTTTTAACCTTCAGGGGAATTGAAATTAAAACCGTGAAACTTTCCTCTTCCCACTCTTAGTGAAGTTAGAAATCTATTTTTATTCAACTTGCTTAATTAATTCTTTGTACATAAGTTTGGTTGTACCAAGATCACAAATAAATATTTTATAAAAATACCGAATAGTTACAGTATAGTTTCTTCATCAATTCTATTGTTTACATTTGTATCTAGATTTCATCGTCTGTGATTTGTAGTTTGATAATAAAACCCGAATTCATTGTATAATGGCTGTATAGCCTTGTCAAGGGAAAATACACGCGCATAACAGAGAAATTGATGGAATTCCTTTAAATGAATTGCTATGTTCCTGGCCTCGCGTTTCTACGGCGAGTAGGGGGTTCCAGAAACCGCATTTATTTATATTTAATATTTATATTGGTAATCATATCGGTCCCAGAAGGGAACCGATATACCGAAAAATATATTAATGGTGTATTTAAATGTTTAGATACCACAGACTCCCTACTGTAGTATCCTAGATTGAACCATATAATTTTTATTGGATTTCTTTTCTAAAGGTATCATGTTTTTAAATTTACTATTTGTTCTATATCTAATTGGTGGCATGCAAGGTAGAATGTAAAATCATCAAGATGGTTTACTAACTATTATATTTACAAATTTAAATATCCAAAAAATATATACAATGATAATGAACAAATCTATATACATAATAATAGTTGAGAATCATACTAGAGGAGAATGCTTGATTAGAGTTACATGTGTTATATTGATTATATTAATTAATGATGTATGGTTGCCAATACAAATTTACATTAGTATAACTAAATGCTTGTTACCACTTAGCTGGTCCTTCATAGTGTTTCTAGGTGTTTCTAGCCGTCATATCTGGATTCCCTGTCTCTGCTCTCCTTCAGCGTCTAGTCCATCCATCTGCTCTCTCCGGCTGTCTTCCTCTTCCTCCCTCGACTTCCCCGCTTGAAGTCTCCTCAGCTGAGTCCCAAAAAGAAGTGTCTAAGTTCTAGTCCTCTATTTCCCACCTTTCTTCACCCCCCTCTCTTTTGGTAGTCCTCTCTGATTGGCTGAATATTCCTAGCCTAAGGGATGACCACGCCCTCTCCCCCAGGCCAAGGTAAAGCATCAGGTGCAGATTTACGTATTTCTGGTGGAAGGTGTGAAAAGGTCTTTCGGGATCCTGTTTAAACACTCAGTTGTCGGTCTTGGTCAGTGGTTCTTAAAGGTTTTTATTACCACTTACAAAAGGTTGGGCTTGTGGGTCGTTACCCTCGCTCAGGTAGCGCCAGATGTGGCCACTTATGATATTTATTTATTTATACCTTTAAAATAATTAAATGAATACCACCGGCGGTCTTTACAATACATAGCAGAATAGACAGTATTATCTCAATCACGATGATTCGACTACCGAAAGAGGTGCGATTTAAAAACTATAATATGCAATAATCTTTTCTATATGTCTATTATCCACCACATTTACAGCCACTATATTTTTACATATATCACAGCCGTTATTAATTTTAATTATTAATTGGAATTTGAAGAAATCAACACTGTTTTTTTCTCTTTCTCATGTCTATCACGCCCTTCTCTTAGTTCATTTGTATATTGTAATCTTATTCACTGGTTGTCAGTGAACATTGACAGTTGTTAATTAAAAAATAAAAAGGAAAACAAAAAAGACTTACATGTGTGAGTGGTGCGATCTGTCCCGCAACCACAATAACTAATTCAACTTATAAGCGTATGTAGTGCGATCTACCGCGCAACCACTACACTACACCTATGTTATTTCAATTAACAATCCTATCCTATATATTATTTCTAAAAATCTCCGAAATTTCTAGAAAAAAAAGTTATGGCCGAAAAGAAAATTTATTTGCAAATAACTCAAAAAGTATGCATTTTTTTCTGAATTGTACCCATGATAATTAGAAAGATTACTAAATTACCTAAAAAACAAAAAAAAATCGTAAAAATCGGACAATTATTAACAAAGATACAGTCCATTAGTTTTGGTATACTTAATAATGTCTTCCTGTTTAAAGATATTACATTTAGGAGTAGAATAGTCTACTACATTTTTTTTTTCCTGGCTTTTATATTAACTTTATTATTTCTTAAAGACATTTGGTTGTTCTTACATTTTATTTTTTTTAATAATTTAGAATATCCCATAATCGAGGCATTATTTTGTCTTTATTACTTTTATTATCTTTCCAGTCAGTGTTTAAAAATATCCTAGCAAAGCAATTTGTACAAATGTTTTGGTCTATAAAAATAGGTCCTAGCAAAGCAATTTATATAAATATTTTGGTCTATTATGTTTAATGGAATATTGTATTAGACTAAGAAAAAAGTATTAATTCCTTCCTTACATAATACGTAGGAACTACTTATTTCCATATTGTTTTGGTATTTCTTCACTAAACAAAATTTTCTGCGAACTTTTCACACTGACCAACTAGTTTCTTTTATTACTATTTTATAACATATCTCTTATTTTTAAATATATAATGTAATTATCTTTTCAGGGTATTTTCTACTGACATTGATAAGTTCTTTTTGAAACTCGTCACAGAAATTGTTGACTACAGGGAAAAAAATAATGTGAAAGTGCATGACTTCATGGATCTATTGATTCAATTGAAAAATAGGAGTAAGAATGGCGAAGAAAAAAAGTTTGAAAATGGAAATATTAATATCCAATCCCAAGGTAAATAAAAAAAAGTCTTATTGTACAAAATAAATTAATTTTTATACTGAGCTTAAAAATAACTTATTTTTTATTTAGATATAACGCTAGAAGTAATGGCTGCCCAGTGTTTCTTCCTATTCAATGCTGGTTTTGAAAACTCGAGTTCGATACAAACTTATTGTTTGTATGAATTGGCATTAAAACCTGAAATACAAAAAACTCTTCAAGATGAAATTGACAAATGTTTGAAAAAACATGGCGAAATGACATATGAAGCTCTAAAAGAAATGAATTACTTAAACATGGTCATATCAGGTAAATATAGCTATTGATATGATATAAGCATGACATTTTTTAATATAAGCATTATGGTATTAATCAGTTACAATAGACTATTTTTTTTTTTATTATTTCATAATTTTCAAATACAGGCTAAAATAAAAGAGAATGTCTGTTATCGGAAATTTAAACTTTCAAATATGAAAAGTATTAGAGATTTTAGGACTAGAAACATTTAGTTTTTCACTTATAAATAAGTATAATGGATCAATTCGTATAATAGAAATCCGGGTGAAAAACACAGTTTCGTAACCACTTTGCCTGAAAAATATTTCAAAAATCATTATTTAAAATTTTTCTTTATAAATAAAAGGTATATTAGGCAATTATGTTTACTATAATACATTCAAAAACATTAAATAACAGCTTTGCAACAATAAATTGTAGTAATTTTTGCTGAAAACATGGGATCTTTTAGTTGACAGTATAAAAACACATTTTATTACGTAACTTGAGATATATCTCAATTTCTTCTCCAGTAACCCTCCATTTAATTAATATGGAGCTAAAGCTAATTAAACGAGGAAGATTTCCTAAAAGTAGGGTAACTGTAGTAGTTGGATGACAAAAAAAATCGCGAATAAATCATAATTTTTTTTAAAAACAGAAATTAGCTTAGATTAGCTGCTCAAAATTCCTCTTTAAATGGATTTAACAATAACAAAGTCTATTTTCTTTTAAATTGAATTTTGTCTAGTTTACTATGGAGCTATGTTTAATTACTTAAATCAAATATTTAATGTCATTGCTTCCTATTCAACAAAAAACATGCTTAAAATAACACAAATCTTAAATTTCCTACTTCTCTGCTGGAAATTGTGCAATTGTTTATATATCCTTTTTTGTAGATCTTGATGTCCTACTATCAGTCTTTTAAATATTTCCCTCTCCTTACGGAACACCATTTATACTTTATTAATTTTGATAATTATAATTTATATAAAATAATTTAAGTATAATAAATTTGTATTTGTACAAGAAAAATACTTTAAACAGTAAATGATTGTTTTTCTACTATAAACAAAAACAAATAGCTTTTATTAACCAGATTTATAATTAACTTCAAGGTCTTTTGTGTATTAAGCATTTTTTTTTTAAATCACCATGTCTACTTATTTACAAATCATATCAATATTATTTTACTTTACGCCATTAGATATTCAGTTCAATATAAATTAATTTTTAATCTTTAATGAAAGATCCATAAGATGTAAGTAATTATAAATATTTTCTTGTGAATATTACTTTTAGTATCACTCCTATCATATATAAAACTTATTCTGAGACTGTATATACTTTATATACAATATGCTGTACTTTAACACTTTGTAATTTGACAAATTTCTTTCTAAATGCTTTTAAGAACTTTTTTTTTTTAGAAACAATGAGAAAATACCCAATACTTCCCTTCGTTACTAGGGTGTGCACGTCTCCACTAACCTTCCCGGATGGATTCCAAGTTGAGAAGGGTGACCAGATGATATTACCTACTTGGTCCCTACAACACGATCCTCAGTATTTCCCAGATCCTGAGAAATTCGACCCAGAAAGATTTTCTGAACAAAATAAAGACTCCATAGTTCCATATACTTATTTGCCATTCGGTGAAGGACCTAGAATGTGTTTAGGTAAGTTATTTTTATTAATATGTATAAAACGAAATTCAGACTCGACATAGCCTGCTATTATATCTAATTACCAATATCACATATATCGCAATAATTTGTAAAAACATTTAATGTGTTATGTCAGATGGAAACGTTAATTGCGTTTGTGTAAAGCTATTCTTATGAATGACTAGCTATAACTTTAACAATATTTTTAATTTGATATAGAGTAATCATTTGTGTAATTCAAGTAACCTGTTGGAAAATACTAGTACATATCGATTTAATTGATGATATGTGTATAATATACATACTTATCCTGATATTATTTATATTATACTATTTTAAAGCATTTTTATTTTTTTTCCAGGAATGCGATTTGGTCAGCTCCAGATGAAAGTTGGACTCGTTTCCATTTTAAGGAAATACAATGTAGAACCGACCAAAGACACAGAGATTCCTTTAACTCTTAAAGCACGTGCATTTTCCACTTTACCTGATAAAGGTGTCAATTTGAAACTTGTATGCAGATCGTGATGATGAACGATCATTTGGAGAACATTTTATATTCTGTACATTTTGAGAATAGATAATATATGAATCCTTTCAGTATTTATTTGTAAATCTGTTCCTATTTTTATTTGTGTCTGACTATTCAGAAAAATAAAGTTTTTTATTTTTAATTTCTTTTATTCTTTCACCAAAATCGTTCAGATGGTTAAACTGGTGCAGTTGTGGTGGGCGGGGCATGTGGCGCGCATAAGGGAAGAGAAGTTTTTGTTGGAGCCTCTCTATGGAGTAAGAAGACGAGGAAGAACGAAGCGTAGATGGGTAGGCGAAGTTGCAGCTGACGCTTGGTACATCTTTGGAGTGCGTAACTGCATGGTGGCTGCACGAAACAGTGACCATTGTGGGAAATTGCTGGTGGAGGCCTGGACCCAACAATGGGTTGTTGCGCGGAGATAATAATAATAAGAATTCCTTCACCATATTTCAAATTTTAAAAATACGAGGATCAAATTTTCATACTGTAGTGCAATTTATTTTTTATTTTTGATCACTATAACCAGTCGTTCATTTTCATGAATATTGCTAGAGAATATTTCTCTCTGAAAATTTTGTAGTAGATTTAGTGTGATGATTTTATTTTTTTCTTGAGGTAGTAAAGGAGTACATATACTTAGGTACCATAATTACTAACGCTGGTAAGATAGATGCTGAGATTTTGTATAGAATATCTAAGGCAAATCAAGTATATCAACAGATTGCTAGCAGTATCCTCAGCTGCTGTGAAGTGGATAAAAATACCAAGATGCACGTCTATAAGTCTGTATACCTTCCTATTCTCACCTGGACTATGTTGGACAAACATTATAGTCGCATAACAGCAGCGGAAATGTGATTCCTATGTAGATCGGTGGGCAAATAGGAGGGATCGCATTAGAAATGAAACTATCAGAGAACAGCTGGAAGTGCCTGAACTTAAAACTACCTTGGAAAACAGGCAATTAAGGTGATTTGGACATATCTGCCGCATGAATGAGGACATGAACCCTATAAAGATATTAGAGGCTCGACCCACAGAGAAGAGGACACGAGGGCGTCCCAGAGTCTCATATCAGGAGTTCATGCAGAGGATCGGAGGTAGAAGAGGCAAACCCTTCAACCAAATGAAGCGGTTAAGCAGAGACCGGGAAGGGTGGCTGCGATGGATAGAGGCTCGTCGACGCTAGAAATGGCATTGTGAGGTAGACAAAGAAGAAGATTTTATTTTCAACAAAGTACATGTTGCTAAAACAATTTACCGTTTATAAATTACAAAAGTCATAATGTTTGTGCAAACATTTCCATTTAAAATTCAATTTTTTTTTTTTTTTTTTTTTTACTGAGGAAAATATTAACTGAGAAAAATGATCTGATTTTTTATTTTAAAACTCTGGTAATGCTTCAAAATTGGCATCCAACTATGATAATTTATCGTTAATAAATAAGTGTTTATTGTTTTTCAAAGAAATTTTTCATTTTTTTTACATTAACTGGTTTTTGAGGTTATTAGATCTTCTGGTTTAGATGAAATATTAGAAACCTGAAAATTTTAATGGTATTAGATTTTATACTCCATAAAAAAAAAAAAAATAGTTTTTCAGATCCTTAACTTTATCAATAGGTTCTACAAAATGAGTATGAATAAAAATATTCCATTATCAATAATGTATGCAGATATAAAATTAATAGTAACTAATGTTAACTCAAAACTCCTCTAAAACTAATTAGGTGGATATTAACAATTGATTTCTGGTTGCTATGATATTGTCTGTTACCAGCAGAGTTGCCAACATATTCTTTTTTAATTTCCCTTTTGGACAGCCAGGTTATTCCTTTTTTCTCTCAGAATGAACTTAGCAATTCCTTCTGCCCAAATATCTACAAAATAACTCATAATATTATATGTAAACACTCATTTTATGTTTGTTTTGCTTAAAAACTGTGCTCGAATTAGGCTTTAATTGATAATAACTGTTTCCTTTTTTTTCCTCTCACAACCTCGAATTTTCCCTAAAAAGGGAACTTTTTAGGGTAAATTTCCCTAAAAAGGAAACAGGGTAATTCTCCACCATTTCAATATGATTTGATAATATTGAAAAACGTGATGATACTTTCAGATGAAATAACTTGAAGCAAGAAATCTATAGCTTGAGATAGTCTAGGAATTGAGAAATGGGTTAATTGATCTATACAATTATTATTATTTTTAATTGATATCAACAAAATATACAAATTGTTATAAATCATGATATGAAAATAATTTTTAATTTTTGAAAATCAAAATAATATTTTATTTGTATTAAAATTTACAATAATAAAAACAATACTTAACAAATAAAAGATCAATAGTTATCACATATAAATTTATTTTGGAAGTTTTTATTCTAATGAAACTTTATTTAATAGTCGAATTAATAAGGACACATTTTGAAATAACTTTAAGTTTGAATATCGCTATCGATATAATATATTAAGCCTTAATGATATTAATTAAGAATTATTATTTGTTTATAAACATTCTATATAAAACTCTATTACTATTTCTCTTACTTTATCATTATTTACATTAGTTAAGTAATTACAGCTTATAGGTACATTCCGTTTACTAAGAAGTCAGCATCGTGCGCATATGGAGATTTCCCTCCTCGTCTCATTCTTCTCTTCACTACTCTCATTCTGCAGCCGACAAATATAAGCATGAGGCCGGTGATGCACAAGCCTGATAACAAATGAAAAAGTAAACCAAATTATTAATAATACATTTCTAAATATAGGGAAAGTTCCTGAGCTCAGCATTTAATCCATCGATGGATAGCAATTCATGCTGCATTCAGGAACAACCTGCTGGATTTTAGTGGAAGGTTAATACTCCTGAAAGTTTACAAAACTCATGAAAAATAAAAAAATATATAAGAAAACATCTACTTACTGAATTGTTGAATTTCAAAACATAAATAAATTTAATATAAATAAATAAAGTAAATTGAGAAATAACACTGAGATTATATCCATTGACACCAAAATCTGATGCAACTGCTTAGACATTGGTGATTCAATCAATGAAGAAATAATGTGCTGAATTCCATCAATGATTTTCATTAATGAGTTTAGGATTCCTGATGGTTTTTCAATGCTATCGATGACCTCAGTATCAATTTAGGAACTTGCCTATACCTCACAATGGATATCTTTAATTTTAGCCGTAAAATTACAGTTATTTGTTTATAGTATATTATAATAGAAGACAATATGGATTATAAATTATCACCAAATATTAATAGTAAGAAAAATTAGACCAATATCATGAAGTTGAGGAAAACACCAATCAAAAAGTTTATTGGATTTATATAAAATGGACAATAAATTATATTAAAAAAGAAAAACTCTGCTCATAAATTGAATATAAATAAAATGGAACTATTTTCGAGATATGATTGAAACTATCATTACAACAAAGATCTGAAGGAGTACATCCCATATCAACAGTAAAGAAAATTCTAAAAAAAAAAGGCTTACTTGTCCTACTGAGCCTTTTGTAAGGAAAACAGCCCTGATGAATGCCTGAATTTTGTGCCAAAACATCAGGAATAATTTATTTATTTTTACTTCATTATTTTTTGACCGAACACCCCAACAAACTTGTCTTCAATAAAAAAAAAAGTACAAATTGGACTTATTATTATTACGTTTGTAATCATTTTATTTTCAATTTTATATCGTGAGTGGAATATTTTAATATTGTAATTACAATTTAATTGTCAACTTTTACAATTTATATAATTAAAAAATCATTTTGAACTAACTAATCTATCTAAACCAGGAAAATTAAGTACATTCTTCAAAATGATTTTTATTTTTATGTTTTACTATAAAAATAGTAAAATATAAAAATAAAATTGCATATTTTAAGCTTTCAAATAATAAAAATGATAACTTATAAAAATTTTAAGTAATATAACAATTTGTGCGGGATACAGTGAGTGATAACTATGTAAAATATTACGTAATGGAAAAAATTTGTCCGAAACATCATGATAAGTAAAAAAATGGTAGAAGTATGAAAGTATATATGTATTCAAAATATTCCAATCATGGTAAAAATGTATCACTAAATTATTAATGATTAAACATTAATTATAATTCTGAGGCTTGAGAGTTAAACTCCTTCAGTTCTCGACTAATTATCACTTTTCAAGGTATTGTAATATTTTCTAAAAAGAGCCATGTTCAAAAATAGTGATCCAATTCATGTCTAGTCAAAGAAAAATACTAAGGTGATAAATAACATGATATACAGTAAAATATTTTAATCATCTTTAAAATTTACCCATCGTCAATGACAGTACTGCTCCGCTTGGGCTTGAACTGTGACCATCTACGTCGTCATCAATCAACGACTCTTTCATTTTCAGTTCTGCTGATGCAACCTCTACCTTTCTGTGCGATACATGTGCAGGCGTTTCTTCTGAAATAATGTAATAGCTGAACTGACCGATTTAGAGGAATTGGATAATTAAAAGACAAATAACAATTCACACTGACTCCATTCATTATAGGACCATGAATAAATATATACAATAGAACCATTGTAAATAACCATGTTAAAAGTTAATTTTAAATATTTCCTTTTGGGCGGGAATTGTAAATATTCCTTCCGTTTCTATCAGGGAACTAGGTTATTTACACTCGTGATTATTAAAACAAAACCCCAGCATTGGATATAGACTTTTTGAGGTTGTTTAACTGTTGTTGGGAATTCGGGAATCTGACACCTTTGTGCCACTGAGTGAGAAGAAACAATAAGAATATATATATATATATATATGAAATGTGGGACTTAATAAACACACTTTAAATGAATTGACTCACTTGGTTTGTTATTCTTCAATTGTGAGGCTTATAGGACAACTAAATAAATAAAATGACTTTTCACTCCTGTATAATAAAACAATTTATTTTGACAACTGTAATAAATTAATGTATAAAAGTCTTATAACTGTAGCCTTGATATTCTTAGTCTTCAATGTAGTATCTCTCTCTTCCCAGATGACGTTGTTCCACCTTAATCTCCCAGCCTCAAGTCCTCTCGCCTCCGTGTCCCAGCCTCAAGTGCCTTCTTCTCTCCCTGGCATCATTCTCCAGCTGTTGCTACCTGCATGCATCCTTCTTCATCGATTGTTTATCGATATGAGACTTTTCAATGAATAATTTGTCCACTGCACAATTGAGTTCAATTCACAGTGCAACCTCACATTCCTATATATTCCTTCTCATTCTCTCACACAATGACACATAAAGGAGTAAATACTGGGACTGTCTACTACACCATGAATAAGTATATACAATTCAAGATAATATTACACCTTAAAGTTAGAAAACTATAAAAATATTGACAGTTCAAAAATATACAGGATGTCTCGGTTCTTAATGGCTTAAACTCTGGAGAGTGATTCTAGACAAAATTTTCAACAAAAAATTTAATTTGATGAATGGGCTAATTCCGAACGGAAAAGAAGTTAAGGCCAATTTCGTGTCTTCCATAAGGTGGGCACGTTATTATTGAATAAGCAGGAATTCCTCAACAATTTTCCATTATAATTAAATTCTAAGTACATCACCATCATAAAGATCTAATGATGGTCATAAAATCTTAATGACTTAAACATATATGACAAGTTTATAAATTACGATCCTTTGCAGATTTATTATTATTTTTTATTTTATTTTTTTATCTATTATTCTTTTTTATTTATTTACTTTATTTCATTTTATTTTTTTATTTTAAAAGTTCATTTGGTTATTAATTTAAACTCATTTATAGATTTATTGCTTTTTTTTTTAAAGTTTAATTATTTATCTATTCTATCTTATTATCAGTAAGTGTCTATTGTTATTTTTATTTATTTATTTTATTCTATTAATCCTTTTATTTAATTATTTTTATCATTTTTTTTTAATTCTTATTTTTTGTACTAACCATCCAAACAGTATAAAAGTAGTGTTATTTAGTTGATCGGGCGCTGATGACCTGGATGTTTTTGCGCCTAGACATCCAAACAAACAAAACAAACCGTCATAAAGTAGACATTTGTTTTAGAAAACATTGATTAAATTTACCAAGATCGATGATAAAAGGAGCTTTCAGTAAGTCTAATATGTTCAGTGTACTGCTGCTGTTACAGTATCCACAGCAGTATATCTCTGTATTACCGAACAGGACCCAGCAGTAGCGAGGTTGTATTAGACCGCCTGAAAGTATCTTTTATCATTGGCCTTAGTAAATTTAATCACTGTTTTCTAAAAGAATATTTTGTCTACTTTACGATAGTGTACTTAGAATTTAATTATCTTGAACAGTTTTTGAGCAATACCTTCTTATTAAATAAAAAACGTGACCCCTTTAAGAAAAACACAAAATTAGTCTTAACTCCTTTTCCATTTGAAATTGGCCCATGCATCAATTGAACTTTTTTTTAGAAATTTTGTCTAGAATTGCCTCCTCCCCGTCCCCAGAATTTGGCCATTAAGAACTGAGACATCCTGTAGATTATAAATTTCATAAAAAAAATAAAATAAAATTTTTATTTTAGTTTTTAAAAATAAAAGTGCAACGATACCTTTAGGCTTTGTTGTCGTAGTCTCTACTGTGTGAACTATGGGCGGTTTCTTTTTTGGAACATCGTGTTTTGCGGTCATATCGTTGCTGCTTGTTTCCATTACTGTTTCAGGAACCTAGAATTTTTTTTATTTAGATTATAGTTTGGAAAGGCTTACAAATTTTTAAATATTTACTTATGGAGAACAAATTTAACAGAACCAAGTTATGAAGAATATATCTTTTGTCAAGGTAGAACTAATAAATATCTACATCTAATGGGTATAACTAAGAGTGGTCATTGTCCAACAAGCCAATGCTTAGAGGATCCAAGACACATTGCCTTCAAGTAAAAAAGATTCGAGAGGCGAAGAAGAATTAGTTTAGGATCGCAAACTATGGATGATGGAGCTAACTTTCTTAGGTCAATGAATAAAGTTAACGTCTGTGACTTGATAAAGTTTTTGAATGACATATAAGCAGTTATACAATAAAAGTCGCCTCTTATTCTCATTTAATTGTTATGAAACTACTGTCACCTCAGTTTTTAACTATTAGTCTTTCTAGTTTAAGTTCTATATAAGTTACATTCAGTGATCATCTATCTAGAAATATTCAATAAATATCCAGTTTAATTTCATCTTACAATGACAATTAAAATATTTTATTGACAAAAAAAGAACAAAATATATACATATATATCTTTTGATGTTACTGTTTAAAGATTGGTATGATTGGAACTATTATATCAATAATTTAATTTTTAAAAATAATCATAATGGATTAATAAAACCTTTCAATACAATAAGGTAGTTTAATAAATCTTAAATTAATAGCTTATATTATATAATATATGATAGGATATAAATACCTTGTTTTCATTATGAGGATGTATGTTTTGTGATACGGGTGTTCTTTGACCATATCCTTGAGGAGACTGAGGCCTATTTCTATAGGCTTCTTCGTAATAGTAATCCGGGCCTGGTCCATTTCCGACTGGTAAATTTTCTAATCTGTTCAATGGACCATCATCTAATCCCTGGTTTGCAACTTCTAGGAAATACAATATAAATTACTCATATGGAATAAACTAAAAAAAAACAATTTTCATGCAATTGCATATTTTGTTTGGATGATCAAATATCAATACCAATCAGTGTACCTAGATGCAGTTAATCAAATTTTATATTGCATATTTGATGATAAATGCATATTACTGGATATTTTGATTATTTCAAATAAATAATAATAATTAGAAATAATGAATTAAAATATAACATTGAAGATGAAATTCCGTAATATAATTGCAGGTTGATTTTAATCTACAAATAACAACAAAATAATACAACCTTTAGTTATTAATTTCTTAGAATGTGGATTTTTTCATTTCATGATTTTTTTTTTTTTTTTTTTTGTATCTCCTCTTCTTATTCTTGTTAGCTTCTAAACACCAGACTCAGTTTAAATGTTTTAATTTGTTTACAATCAGTTGTATTTTTAATAATTTCAAGAACATAATTTTCTTAAAATTTGGAATATCGGATCGACCTTTGCGATTCCAAAGATGCATCCATTTTTAAAACTCATTGAAAAGTTCATTATTACATTTATTGTTGAACACAAGTTTCTATTGAAAACAAGTCAATCATTTTAAATGGACACAAATTTGCTTCTATCATGTCTGTTGTAGAATGATCATTTTCTTATTATTAAAGATTCTTATTATTATAAACTATTGCAGATTAGGTTTTAAGAAACAAATTTCTAAAATTTTCAGTAGATTGCGCTGTTTATTAGTTTCTAATCCATTGGCGTTTTATTTATTATTAATGTTGTCAAATAATTTTTTAGTTAAAAAAATAGATAATTTTCTTTTATTAATAATTTTAAATTGTATTATTTTAATGTTTAATAAGTATCTTACATTATGTTTTTAATTGTCCCCATTTGTATTTACACATTATGCTTTATTTAGTTTGGTTTTAAAAAATAAAATAAAATCAGTTTATTTAATTTTTAATCCTTCCTCATTTTTAATTTTTTTTTTCTTTTTCAGTTCAAAATGTTTTATTGGCACATAAGCGTAATTGAATATTTTAGATGTTTTATTGCATATTTAGAGATTTTTTCACTGCGTATTTGATAGTTTTTACTGCAAGTTTTGTGGGTTTTTACTGTATAAAAATCAGGGCTCTGTACATAACTAACTACGAACTTGGTAAATAATTACAAGTATAATTGAAAAGAATATCAAATAAGGTACTTAAAATGTCCAGATACATAAAAATATGTTTCTCTTGAATGTTCGATAAGTCAATAGGTTGCTTAACTTCGATTTTGTTAGTTAATGGTAAATGTGACCTCATATATAAATACCATATAAATCATATATTATTTTTTAAATTAAAAATGTATTGTAAAAATTTTAAAAAATGCCTTTATTCATAAAATTATATATTCAACAAATATATTAAGTGAAACTGTATTACCTTGGGTTTTGTGAGGCATCTGCCAGTTGTTGACTGGTTGATTCTGAGGAAGTATTCTATAAGGCACATTATCGTAATAATACTTGGCGTAATCGTTCGGTATTTGTTCTCCGTATTGTTGTATCATACCACTGAAAAATAATAATACAAAAAATGCTCAAAACTAAACCCTCAGGGCTACTAAATTTTATGACATATTATGACACGCAATTTTCACTAACCTTTCTACGTTCAGTATAAATTAATTTTGTTTTTTTAAATTAACAAAATATTACATTAATTATTAATACAAACTTATGGCAATTAATATAAGATATGGTAATTATGTGCACTATATATCTTTTGGTTTGTCAAGCTGAAAATAAATTTCAGTTTTCCATTTATTTTCGAAAACATTTTTTAGAATTTTTTCTCAAATCTTTAATAGCTAACAGAAATACAGACATTGTAAAATAAGTCATTTTGAATAATTGACATTTAAGATCTGGCAGACCATTTCAATAAGAATAAGACCTAACTCAAATAAGACTAAGCATTTAGTATTACATTGATATAAATATTGCTGTTTAAAACTTTAATTCAACATGTTTTACAATCGGAATTCTTTCCCTTGTGGTACTTATAATATATAAATGAAAGGAAAAAGTGCTAGAAACTCAAAATTTATTTTCTGCTTGGCAAACGAAAAATAAAATTTTTTATTTGAATTTTTTTTTGTAATTAATCAAGCTATAAAAAAAAAGAAGTCTGATACTTAGGCTTTTATACCCATTATATTAAGCTCTTATAAGCTCTTTCTCCAAAACTATACAAAGACTAATTCTAATTTATTGAAGTAAAAACTTCTTTAGGCACGTTTTGCACTGTTTTGTAGAGAGTGAATTAGATTTATCCCTCACATTTCCAAAGTGTTAACGCTCGGGTAAAGTCGGCTAGAGTTGACTGATTGAAATGTTTTTAAATATGAATTGAAATATCTCAGACACTAAAAATCGGGACTACATACTGTAAACAGGCAATTGTTAAGCATTTCATCCTCTCTATAATGAGCTATAATTCAAAATTGTATCTGAACAAAACGCCATGTTAGGGAAGCAAAAAGGAAAAAATAGTCTCTAAAACCAAATTATAATGTTAGTTGAACTTTTGGATTAAAATAATTTTTTAAATACTTAATTAATTTCAGATAGTAAAAACCGGACCTATATACTGTAAGCAAGAGAAATGTTCAGCATTTTATCTTCTTTGTAATGAGTTATTATTTATAATTTATATTTCACATTATTAATCTCGTCTTGTTGATGTTTTCACTCATATCGTGTGGTTTAAAGCACAAAGCTTTTTTTTTATAATTTTTTTTTAATTCATCTATTGGTAAATATAATTATTTTTCTAATATTGTCCAAAACTTTTCCAAATCTTTACAGTTCAAACAAACCAAATGCATCGATTACCTGATAGTTTTATGCCTTTACGCAAAAATATAAGACAAGCAACTGACTTTGAACAAAAAGACTTTTATAACACACAAAAATGTGATTATTGTTGTTTATTTGTAAAATTGGAAAATAAATAATTACAACTAATGAAGTTGCTATAAAAACAGATATAAAATCTTAAAGGGACTTATTATAAGTTAAAATAAACATATTACTAAAATAAATATTATTACAGTAGACTACCTTAACTGAAGCTTAACCGGCTCTCCGGACTAACCCGTGGTAGTGGTAAAAGAAAAAAAAATTTTAACATCCTTAAAAAAACTTATAACTTTATAAGATTATCCCCTCTGGTTATAGCGTTAAGCTCCGTAAATCACAAAAACTGATTTTGTGAAAAACTGATAAGATCGTTAGTAAAAATGTTTGTAAATCGTTAAATTGAATTGGTCAAAAATTGTTATCATCTTGAATTAATATGTATATATGCTTTATCGACTAAGTTGTGTTGTATTTTGATTTTACGCTGAATAATATTGGATTTTTTGTTGTTTTTTTTATAAACTCCATATTAACTGACTCTCCCGTTTAAGCAGTGATGTCTCGGTAGCGACGAGGACGGATAAGTGGAAGTCTACTGTACTTACCGCTGCGGAATTTCTTGCTGGATGTATTGATGTTGAGGATATCTATCAGCTTGGGGCACTAAACCGTTTCCTTTATGAGTAAAAATTTGACTTCCTCCTATTAGAAGATATTATATAAATTTATAGCTAATTATAATTTTAAATATGTATTTAAACATAATTTAAAATAAATCAGAAGAAGGAATTTCAGGAAAATTTACAATTATATATAAAAATTGTTATTGTTTACAAAAAAGTTATTACCTTGATTAGGATGGTATTGGTAACCCCATTGTTGTTGTTCTGGATGGAAATTTGCCATCCCTTCTCCTTCTCTACCATAACCAGTTCTTGCATTTGGAAGGTTTGAAGGCAAATTCATATTTAATTGAAGTGGATTTGTCGCATAACCACTACCTGCAGCCGGGCTATCTCCTGCTAAAATATTTTTAATTAATTAGCATTATTAAATAATTTAGTGTAAATGTGTTATTTTTGAAGTAGAAGAACAACCGAAATTTAAGGAAATACCCATCCCACAAAACCCACCAATTTCTGTAAAAAGGAAAATTTATTCTGCCAGTCAGGATGTGATCTTTCAGAAAATATATGCTCTACTCTTCCTGCTTACCATAAAAATACTATCATAAAAATAGTAATATACAATTATAAATATTTATTAAAGAATAGTTTAGAAATTTAAATAAAATTAACTTGTGCTTACTGTTTGGTTGTTGAGAATATTGTTTTTGTGATTCTGGTGTAACTTTTATTCCTGGATCCACTTTATGCACTTCAACATCTTGTTCAGTTTTTGGCAAAGGCTTAGAAGGATTTGATGTAGTTACAAGTGGAGATGGAGTCGCTGAAATTAATTTTTTTTTTTTATTATAATTGATTTAAATGTATATGATTTAAAATAAAATAAATTAATGAATATCTTACGTGTAGCAGGACAGCCAAGTTCAGGAGCTTCATCACTTCCATCAGAACATTGTGGTATCCCATCGCAGGCATTATAAATAGCTATGCACTCCTTGCTTGTATGGCATTCAAACTGATACCTACTGCATTCTCGACTCTCTAATACACAATGAAATATTTTAAATTAAACATAAACTATTAATACACATATCATTTTAATGCATCAAAAAATAATATTTTTAAAAATTTACTTGTGACAGCAGGTTGGTTTGGGGGTCGTTCTATTCCAAAATTTATTGTCTCTTGATTTTTGGTTGATTCCGTAGTAGGAAAATGAACTGTTATTGGGTTTGAATTAGGAGGAGGTTGTCTATCCAAAAGAAAAGCAGATCATTACATCGCTTGAATTAATGAAATAATTAGCAGTATTCGAAAACTATTTTTTTTTCTTATTAAAATCTAATGTATTTTAAGAAAATAAATGTTATCAAAATTTACCTGAGTTTTGTAAGTTCATGTTCGTGTTGGGTAAACTTTATCTGTGTTTCCAACTCAGTTAAGTGCCTGTTTATTTTCAAAACTGCGCTAGTATAGTTTTGATGTTTTGTAAATTTGCATTTAAAGTCCTCAGGAGAACCACATTCAAATAAATAACAGCCACCTGGGTTCTGAAACGGATAAGTTAATTAAAATTAAATTCAGATTAAAATATTAACAATATGTGATAATATTAATGTAACAAGATATAAATAAGAAAATGATTTGGCCATGTTCATGTTCAGGGTTTCCGAATGTGCCACAAGAGTGTCTCCAACCATTGTATTATTCTACGGCTAATGTAATATAATAAATAATGATCTGCCACTGCCAAAATTGAACTCGGGCCCCAGAGAATAGATATACAGTGCATTATTCATTGAACTACCCTACTCTTGATGTAAAGTAAAAATAAGTACTACTTTTGATATTATAGTTGGATAATAGTTTTTATTAAGCATCACTTCAACCCATGAGGGCTCATGGGTTCAGTACATGGTAAAGAAGTATTGTTTCTAGGTTAATGGTTATAACAGCAGATGACCTGGCAACATTATTGATCAATAGCTAGTTTTGATTTTTTGAAGAATAAAAAAACAATTAAAACAATGCATGAAAAAACTGAATGACTTGTGTGAGAATATTCTGTTTTGTTTCTGTCTTTTTTTAAGTTTAATTTATTTTAAAAGGAATAAAAATAATTTCTTCTAATGACAACAAAATTAAATATATGTAATATCGAAAAATATACAAGAAAAAAAAACTTTCTTACATCCGGAAATTTGGACAAAATTTTTCCAAAGTTAAATAATATTGTTCCGCCTGGGAATTTACTTTATATGCCGAATTTCAGCTTATTTGGTCAAATAGGAGCCACTGGGGAATTCGAAATGTAGTAGGAAAAAAAAAATATATATATATAACTGACATCTCTAAAAATTGCAGAATAATGTTCGAGAGTTTCAAAAGGGATAGAAACCCTGCCTTTCTCTAACAACTTTTGATACAGTGCTAATAGTCTATTATTTCCAAAGGAAAATAGACAAAAATAAATTTAAATATGCCTACAAATAATAGAAAAACTATGTTATTATATGCTATAACTAATAATGAATATAGAGGAAGCTTATCATTATAATTTTTTTTAAATATTATATTAAATAATGTCAGATGATAAATTTGTCTAGCTGAATGTTCCCAATCTGAATTTCGGTAACTTCTTAAGAACAAAATTATCAAACCAACTAAAATGACTTTGAATTACTATTAACAGCACAGCAGACTCTTATTATATAATTTATAATAAATAGCATTAAGGTTATTTTCTAAATGGATAATAACTTATGCTTTTCAAAAGATATTGTCATTGGTAATTGAATCTGTATGTTTGTTGTCATAGAAGGTCAAATTCTGACCTGATTCAATCAATGATTACATGAATGATTGCAAATCTAGCCATAATTTTACAATTATACCAGAAGAATAATTCTAAAAATCAAAAATTAAACAATACATAATACTATGCAACAATTACATTCTGTTACTTAAATATTTTCAAAGCGATGAGATTAAATGAGTTAACAAACACTATTGCTTAAGTTACAAATAAAATCTTTAAATTATTTACTTTTGTTCATTCAATATTGATAAAAAATTGGCCTTAAATGAGGAGAAAATATATTTAATTAATGTTATGTTACTACTAGTAATTTCTCCTAAATATTTTTTAAAATCATAACTAAATGTTCTTATCATAAACAGGAAATCTAAAACTTTTTTTTTTTATTTATTAAAACTCAATTAGGCGTTTTTTATTTAATTAATATTTTTTATAATCTATATAAACCTTAAAATAATTTAATTAAACTTAGTCTTTTAACAGATTTTCATTGTTAAAAGACTTCAAAATAAATTTAAAATATGTTTTTATATAAACCAAATCAAGAATTACAATTACAATTCCTTGGGTGGATAAAACTGAAAAAATACAACTCAGCGCTGAGCTCATCAATGGCATCGTTTTGTCCAGTTTAAAGTCCTATCCGATACCATTAATGAGGTCAGCTCTGAATTTAGAAACTTGTCCATTTCATTAAAAATAATCATACTTAAAAAAAAAAACCTGCTTTAAAAATTAAATAATTAATTTTCTCTTCCTTTAAATATAATTTAATTTGATTTATTAAGTAGTGTTACCTACAATAACCGTTGTATTTACTTATTATACTTTGTATGAAAAGTATACTTAAGTGATATAAACCATCTTTCCACAGAGATACTATGGAAGGAAAAACAACAAAAATGTAATTTTTTTTAAGATACTCTATTTTAAAAAATGTCTATTTAAAAGAATTAATTCAATAAAAATAATATCTCCAATTTATTATTTAAAACACAATTTAATATAAAATGTAATCCGCAATTACTATTATGTTTTTTAATTGTCAATAAATATGGAAGAAATAGAATATATGTAAAAATAAATTTCTTGATATATAAAATATATTGCATTTTATAATATATTCTACAAAATTCATAACACTGCTTTAATATACTTTTAAGTTATAATTTTATTACTCCCAAAGCTCGTTAAATACATTGATTTTTAACTAATACTACAATTTACATTAATTATACCTACTTTTTCTTCGAAAACAAATACATCACAATTATCTGTTTCACAGCACAGTTTTAGGCAGTCGTCTCTCGTTAAGACATCCCTTTCATTTAAATATTTTGCACCCATATCTCTAGAATCTTGTGTTCTAATTATTTTGTCTTGGTAAATGTCAAAACTTTCAAGACATGTTTGAAAGTCTGGATCATTCCTCTTTGAAACATGTTTTTCATAGAGGGAATTTTTATTCTCGTTTGATTCACTGATCACAAAAAAATTAAAAAAACTTAATACAAGTAATATTCCACAATTTATGTATGCTTTGAGCATTTTAAAATCAAAAAAACATTTGCTATCTACATTTGTTATCTTATGGTGGATGTTTCAAGACTAATAAAAATCAATATTCAAGGGACTCCTTTATTGAGGATTCTCTCATAAGTTTACTTGTATGGTGCAAACAGGGTTTATGTTTATATTTTAATATTTATTATGTTACTAGTAACTTTTTCTCTTCTTTTTAAATATAGATAAAACATGTTTCATCTATTTTAATTTTAATTTTAGTAATTGAGTAATGTATGATTTTGAAAATGAAATAAGGTCAGAGTATTACAATGAAATATTTTTATTGATTTCAGCTAGCTGGTACCTTTTTAATTAATAAAATAAAATGAATTATTATTAGAAATGAAAAATTGATTTCAAATTTGGTTCTTAACTGTTGCCAAGTGCCACTCTGGTGTCAAAGAATGGAACTATCAGAATAGATGTTAGACACAACAGCTGATCAGTGTTTTCTTAGTAATTGTATAGGTTTTGTGTATTTTGTGTACTCGAATTTTAAAAATATAGAACAATAATGGGTGAATTGTACTGCTTGACCTAACATGCTGATAATTACTTTTACATTTACCATGGGGGCATGGCCCACTGCAATCTGCATTTTGTTTGAAAATAGATAAACTTTATTACATATGTTTGAAGAATCTATGAACAGACTTTTCTCTAAGGAAAAGTATAATTTACAACGTTTATGTCGTTGGAGATTAGATGACAATTACACTATGTAAAGTGTTTCCAATTAGTGATGAGTGGTACAGGATATTTACCTTTACACCCCCCAAAAAAGGGTTTTATTCTTCGTCTGCCAGTCAGTAAAGCTGCATGGATTACTTGTCTACTTCCATTTACAAGTTTTGTATTTTGTATTATTTGGTCATTGATGTATAATTTTGAGGATTCAACATTTACACATTGCAAGGTAAGTTTACGTATTTCTGTTTACTTTTGTTGTATTCTTAAATAAATTCTATTTATTATATTCTACTATCTTATTATTCTTTTACAGTTGATATTTTTTGTTTATTGGCACACAATAATGTACATTTGAACTTCGAAAAATTTTCACTGCTTATTTATAATTTATGCCATGTTTATTTCTATCTAGATATTAATGAAATATCTATTAATGAGTATGGTATTGATAAGTAGCTTACAAAAGACTTGGTCACTCACCAAAATATTTTCAAATGTCATCTATATTTATTTAGAATGTTTATTTGTAGTTTTAGATTATTTAAATTGATACTGAGTATTTAATATTTAAAACCAATCGAACATTTAATTGTAGTATATTATTTAAAAGCATTATATAATTATGAAATTTTAACTAGTAGACCATTAGAAGTATTTTGAAGAAAAAAAAAATGACTCATCACTAAAAGTCACTTAGTCCTTTGATGACATTAATTGTTCCCATTTAAAGCAATTTAGGAGTCCTTAAAAAAATCTTCCTTTTTTTAATGTGTTATCGTTCTTATATGAAATAATTTCAATCCACCATTCTTATTTCTTGAACTACATTTGCTATCTACTGAAATATAATCTGTTCAAGTAGTTATTAATTATGTATTACTGATTATTTAGTTTGAAATTATTCACGATAACTTGAATTTTATTCCATTGTGATATTGGACGAACATCTTTATCATCCTTAAAAAAAAAAATAAGTCAAGTTCAGTTACTATGACTTGGTGTATCTTTGGGCAAAATAATATATAAATATATATTCTATATATTAAAAAAATAGAGTGATTGCTTCTTATTTATTGAAACAGCCAATCGGTAGCAATAAAAAATCGAAAATCAATCTTCTTTGCCTAGATACAGGGCGTAAAATATATTTTTGGAGCCAAAATTACTCGCGATGGGTTATCCTTTTTGCTGGTATTTATGCTATTAACTTAGCTTACGCATAGCAATATACATTATGTTTATAGATTTACTCCAGTAAATTATATATATTTTATTATTTATAAATAGGATGCCTTCTGGTGGGCCAAAGTTGCTTTTAAAAGTAAGCTTGTAAACAAAATAATCCATGATACTTTTTAAATTTTCTCATTTTGTATTCCTCCTGTATCAGAATGATTGATTTTTTTTCAAAATTTAAATTCATAGTTGATTAAAATATTAAATATGTTAAATATTTTGGTAAAATCGAAGGATCAGGTGGATATTGGTGACAAGTGACATTTTGGGAAAATTCAGTTTCTAAGGATAAAAGAATGAAGTAATATAAGTTTTAATATTACTTCCTTCTATTCGCTTAAATTTAGAATTTCGTTCATAACAGAGATAATAAAGGTGTCAAGTGAGTGTTCGCGCCAGCCTCTTAGTTGATTAAGGTGATGTGAATTCAGTTTTCTGAGAACTTGTAAGATGTAATCATCTTCATCCATTTCACCCTTGAATTGCTTAAAAACTAATAGAAGAAAGGTAATCTAGTGGTTATAGTTCTAGTTATTTTGTTGTTGTTTTTTTCTGAACTTGTGAAAATAACTAACTATAAATACATTTTAGCATAACCTTTTATAAATTTAAAAATACATTTGTAAATTATTCTATTGGTATGAGTAGCTGTTGATGTTTGTATTCATGTATTTCTTCAGTACAGGCTATTGTGGGATTGTTTATTTATCACCAATAAAATTATCATATAAGAAATAAAATAATATAATTTAAAACATTGAAGAAAGTATGCAAGAATTTATTATAAGGATCCGTGGTGGACCAAAACCGTGCTTATATATTACATGGTTCTATGCTGTAGTCCTAAATAATTTAATTAAAAATTTGTGTGATCAGCTAGTCCCATTTACTCAAAGTCAGTCAAACGTCAAAAAATTACATTACTTTAGCTAAAGATAAAGATAAATAATAATAGTCAAATAATGATCATCCAGAAATATATTTTTTTCTGTGCTCCTCTTCCTCGCCATTTAGGCTATGGGATGAGGGTGGGAGATTAATGCAGAGTTAAAAGCCCCTCTTGGCACCAGGACGCGAAGTCGGTATTATTTTATTACAATATCTTCTATCCAGATTGCCAGGCAACTATATCTAAGCCATTGTTTGTGCAAGGATGTGGTTGGCCAAAATCACACTCAACTGCCAGTTTTTCTCCTTAACGAATTAAGAACCATCATTTTAGTGAAGCTGGATGTTCCCCAGGTGCATGTGGTCAATCTGTATCTGATGTAGTAAAATTACCTGCCATAGCCAAATTCGAACCCATGCCCTGGATTGCAGTGCCTTACTCACTGAGCTACCCTGCTCCACACTTCCTATGATACTTATTTCAACAAATCTATATTTATTATTATTTAAAAATTGTCACTAATGCATCAGAAAATTTAGATTTCAAAAAAGATTGATACAGCCTTATCTTATAAAAATCAATTTAACCTTCATGTTCTCCCTAAATACGAATTGTTATTGTTTAATCGCTACTTATAATTTTGAATGTGTTCTCAAATGTAAGCTATATTATTTCAAAACCATATAGATGAATACATTAGCCCTACGTTTCTGGTACGAGTAGACAGTTATTTTCTTCTCAATCTGATAGTAACGTTGGAAGATAGTAGAGGCAGCATAAATCACTTTATTAAAGTGAGATTTGATGTATTCATTTTGGGTTGTCACTAAACCTGAATGCCAACCAATATTCTGTCAGTTCTGTTTTTATGATTATTTATGATCCATCATTTGATTACATCAATGGCAGCAAAAATTTCATTATCAGCCAGTGCAACTGGCTCAAATCAAAACTTTGATTAACTATCTCTCGTTTATCTGTCAGTTTCTGTCAGTACAGTCGAACTTAGAAAAAAAGGTGATTGAATTTTTTATCAATTAGTTTTTTTTTCTATAGTTCCCCTCTCTTATCAATCTGACCTCTTGGATGGCAGCTAAGTCTATTTTTATTTCTGATTCGAACTTGTGATAAATGAGGAATAGAATAAGAACATTACCACTTTACCTAAGTGCAAAGAGAATACATTGTGATGGGAAAATTTAGAAATGAAAACGCTCAATTTTTCTTCTATATGGGAACTTAAGTTGATAGTCGAAATAATATGGAGGAAGACAAACAGAGGCGAATACATCTAGCAAATCTTAATATTTTACTATACAAAAGCATTTAAGGAGTAACACATTATGTAGGGCTGAAAAAAATAGAATCTATAAAATACCTATCTGTCTGTACCTTACATTCCTTCTTTTTTTTTTTTTTCTGTTGGCACTACAGACCATGTAGATCTTTTGCTGCCTTAACAAACCTGCTCTATCTCTGCCTGTCTTGGGCTATTTGTTATCATTTATCTGCACGCAGCTCTATTGCATCTTTGTTGCTCTATCCATCTGCTTTTTTGTCTCCCATGTGGTATTTTGCCTTCTATTGAGGCATTCTGTACCTTACATATGGCTCAGAATTTCGGACTGTGACACAATTCGTAAATGTGATAAATTTAAGTACCTCTGGGGAGTAGTGACAGAAAACAATAATTTGGAAGCTGAAATAAAAGGCAGAATGGTTGCAGGAACTAGATGCTAGGCTCTGCAAAAGGCGCTCTGTTTCAAAAGTCTCTCCAGAAGAGCAAAGCTCGTAGTATATAAAACGGTGATTTGACCAGTCGTTATTCACTCAAGTCGTATTCGTTTATTGGTCCAGCTCATATCGTATTGGTCCAGATTCTTGATTTGTAATAGAAACCAAGCCAAGAGCGTATTAGTCTATTACTAAGAATATAGAAGCGATATCCAGATATTTTTTTATTTATTATAAATATAGAAAGGTTTCTTTTTATATTATCCGAAGTTCCCAAGGAATCATTGAACTATTCCCCAGTTTTCTTTTTAATATTTTTTTTTGGTTTGCATCGAAGACAAATAGCAATAATTTAGTTTATAAAAGTTAAACATGTGATACCTCGCGCGGACTCATTACTGCATAGGAGAGCGTCCCATGGGTGGCTGATGAGGGGATGGTCGCTGGAAATTCCTCGGAAGTTCCTTCCGGCTAAGTCCAATGGACTCGCTGAGCAACAATGAGAGGGGTCCCCTAGGCTTTATGGAGGGTGTGACGTAACTTAAAAATCAGAATTTTCAAAACCAATATTCTTTCTACGGTTCTTTATGAATGCGAAACATAGCCGCTTACATTAAGGCATGTGCAACGTCTTAAGGTTTTTAACGGAGAAAAAAATATTTAAAAAGATGAGTTAACTGAAGAATTTAGGCGGTTACACAACGCTGAATTGCGCGAACTGTACCCGCTTAATATAATTGAGATGATTAAGTTGAGACGCATAATGGGCATGTAAAATCGCTAGACTTAGTGATGAAAGAATTCCTTAAAAGTTAATATGCGCCGTGCCGACAGGCAAGCATCCGAGGGGTATGCCAAAGCGAATATGGGAAGATTGCGTTAATACTGATCTGGCAGGGTTGGGTTTATACAGCGCCCGGTGGATATAACAATGTAGGACTGTAGGCATCGATTGTTGGTATCGGCATCGAACCTTCGGGTTCGCTAAGCCATTATTATTATTAAACATGTGGTAAATATCGCCCGGCAACCATAGTACCTCAGAGGGTTTCGACAAGAAATACAATTTATGTCTGTAATGTAACAGTACATTTTTGAGGTTTGAAACGCAGGGTTCTTCGATATATTTCAAATACAAATTATCTCGTATCGATTGGTTGGCATTTGGAAACATCTGAGTTTTTAAAATACTTTTATTGTTGTCGTGAAATTCCCTTTCTTTTGATAGTTCATTCATCAAACTACTTCGTTCCTAAACATGTGATAAGTACCCAATATCATTTAAGAGACTTTCGGCAAGAATTATGGTTCATATCCAAAATGGTAATGGTTAATCTTCAAAACACAATTTTCTCCTTCTCGATCCG